TTCAGTGGTCTTTTGTTTCTATTACTGTTCAGTGGTCTAATGTTTTTATTACTGTTCAATGGTCTTATGTTTTAATTACTGCCCAGTGGTATTATTTTTCAATAAATGTTTAGCGGTCTTATTTTTCAATTATTGTTCAGTGGTCTTTTTTTTCCAATAACTGTTTAGTGATAAGATTTTCAATAATTATTAAGCATTCTTATGGTTCAATACCTATTCAGAAGATTTTTCGAAATAACAAACATTTCGTATCATGTTTTTTTGGTGGTTGCTTGCTAGCATTGTAAAGTTTCACCTTTTTAATAAATAATGGCGTTATTCGTTTATTGTCCAGTTTTTCAAATTGTTCTTATAAAGGCCCTTGTTTATAATAAATCATGCATTTCTGCTTGAATTGTTTACTCAATCATTTGTCTTATAACGGTTAATGTATGTAAAGCGTATAGTTGCCTTCTACCTTGAATGTAGAGTCTCTCCTTTGTGTTATAATAATTCATGTTTATCACAGTGTCTCCCGGGTCATACAGCCCAGTCGCTTTGACCACTGCCCTTTGTCCAGGCTCATCAAAGTACTCCTGTATGTACACAGACTTTTCGGAACTCATCTGACGCCATTCCGCAGTGGTGTAATACTGGTTACTCAGGGTAGGTAGAACAGGCCCTGAAACAATGAAGTCAATGTCTGAGGGATTTAACATAGCGTGTAAAGATATATGATTGTATGTTGTAATATTTATTTACTATGAAAATGTGACTTTCATATAACAAAAATCTTTTAAAACATTCTGTGTTGAATCATGATTTGAAAACATTATGATTGACGAAATATTTAATTGTTTCACAGATATGTATGTACATTGTAATATAAAAAAAAAATCGTTAATTTGAATATAAACACATAAACATACATAAACGCCTCATCAAAATTTCCTTTGTTCATGTTTTCTTATATCTTGCAATAGGAAAGAAGCGAAACTGAAACCTGTATCACCTCATGGTCACGAGTACTTGATTTCGTTAAATAAACAGAATCATTGAATTATTATCAGTCATGATATGTCGAAATATCCATAATATATCTTTAACGGGAAAGTATGTGTCTGACGAAATATGAGTAATATAGAGATATCTAACCCTGACATCCAAGTATCTCACTCACAAACATGGATTATATATTACCCACTTTTTAACTACGAGGTTATAATTCTAAAACACAAAATATAAGTGATATATAATCTAGTTTCTGACTATGAGATTCCAGTATCTAACACACAAAATATGAGTGGTGTATAGCCCGATGTCTAACAATGAGAATCCAGTATCTAATATACAAAATACATTCAGCTTTAAAGGTGATTACTTACCTTTTGTTAAATTTCCTGGAAGTGGGGTACAGAACTCCGGATGGAATTGTCCACTTGAGATTCGATATCCACTCAATACTAGCAATGTCCACAGGAAGTACTTCTATGGCGATAAAGAACAAGGAAGGGGGATCCTCACATATTAACGTGTACAGTGTCGCCAGTATATAAATTAGCTAAAGCAAGAACTTGCATCCAAGATTGCAGCTGGTTACCTATGTCCCTTGTCGTGTGATAGTAGGGAAAGCTGCCTTGGTAATTAGTATTTCTCTTTATTACAACCATCAAATGTACGTTATTATTTAATGAAATGCTTATTCTTTTATCAGAAAGACTTTGTACTGACATGATTTGTGTAGAAATATCAATTACGGGACGGAAGCAAAAGGGACAAATATAACTTAATGTAACTTAAATAGCATTGTTCGTATTAACTCGGTAAATATATATACCTGTTATGAAGCTAATTACGTCTTAATAGTCTTTTAAAGTTTCTTCAAACTTCTAACTTGCATAGATTGAGAAAGACTTACCTTGTCTGAAAACATCATTCACCCTGAACTAATTTATATAAGCTGCAATTGATTTCCAGTTCCACTACTATCTAAATCATCGTATCAGGAACGAAATAATATCATGTTTAGAAGTATACAAGTGTTATACTTAAACTTATCAGGAAACAAAATAAAGCGGCCTCAAATGTGTACTTTGAGCTAAACAGTCATTGTTACCGACATGTTGATAAGATAGCCAACGTGATATCGCCTGTACATGTAAGATATGGTACATTTAGTATGATAGGATTAACCAGTAACCCATATTCACATATTTAGTTATAGAGTCGTGTGTCCTCAAATCACTCAAAACAACTTTTGTTCCTCTCCCTAACATATTTGTTTGTCTCTTTGTACCAGAAGATTATTAGCAGAGAGTAAAGAGTAGCAAATTTTTGTCATCTAAATGCTAATAATCTACCGCAGTAACTCGAAATTGGTCGAAAGGAATAGACTTGTTTTTACACTGCTAGTAATATCTGGAGAGGCGACCAGGAGAGGTAATACAATTAAAGCGATATTTTAATTGTAGAAACGTCTTTAACGGTACCCGGATGGGGGTAATGCAGTTAAAAGTCTAGAATTAATCTGGAAACGATATTTATTTATTGTAATGTGTGAAACGGATATCAATATAGAGGTAATGTATTTAAATAGATGTTTTCAATAGTGACATGGAATGGGTATCAAACATGCGTTATAAAGAAGTAGAAAGCAATAAGAAATATGGAAATATACAAGGTTTGAGTTTGTCATTGTTTGGTAATTTTATGTTACGCTGTGTTATACCACCACCTGTACCGGCTAACACAGTACCATACGCCAGTTC